GACTATGGATTATTTGTGTCGACACATTACCTGCAGAAGCTCCTTCTAGACAGGGCTGGGACTAGCGTGAGGCAAGTGAGGTGCCTAGGCTGCAGAATTTAAGGAGGCATTTACTCTCAGGGTTGTGCATGTGCCTCCCTAAATTCTGAGGCCTGAGTGTCTGCTTGCCTCACTCTAGTCCCTGCCCTGTTTCTAGAGCTTTTACCTCCTGAAAGTTTGGAGTTTATATTTTGTTTTAGTAAGGGAGGCCACTCCCTTACAAGAGTCCTGCATTAATAAATGATGCCTGATACGTTACTGAGGTGGTTAAAAAAAAAAAGAAAAAAAGAGGGAGACAGGTGATTAAAGAAAAAGGAAATATACTAGATTTCAAAGAAACCAAACCTATAAAAAAAAAAAATCTGAGTAGGAATCTATAGATTATTGCCTTTTCTTATTATTCCCCCAATAACTCTTTGTAATGCAAAGGCAACTATAATCTGAATTATTTAGACAGGGGATAAACCATTTCTTAAAGCCTTTCTGACTTCCTCAGATATACCTGATTTTTGGTTTAACTTTCTATCATCATAAACAAAAGAAATGTATCATTCAATGCCCTTGACTCCTAAGAGAGGAGAGAACAACAACATTTAATCTAATAAGCTTAAAGGAGAATGGAGCCACAGTTTACACCAGTCAAAAATAAGCATACGAAGGTTCTGTGGCAGAGAATGCTACTAGGCTGGAGCCTCAAGAACTAGATTTGAATCACTGGGTTTTCTCATATACAAATGTAGGAACTGCATTAAATAAACTCTGAGGTCCTTTCAAACCATACGAGTCTATGATTCTATTTTCAGCTTAGGCAGCCCAGGAATGGGGCCAAGGACTACACACAGAGTGGCATTCAGACAGAACTGCTTCATCAAGGTGAGGAGGAGATTAGGTTCTTGTTTTCTTTATTCACACTAATTCTTGCTTATTCTTGTTAAAATTACCCAGACCAAACAACTGATAAGTATTTGATCCAAGACCAGCAAAAACTGAATAAGGGTGGAAAAACATCATCTCCCAAGATTATACTTTGTTATTTCACTCATGCAGTCAATAATTTAGCAAATATTTACTAAGCATCTGCTTTCTGCAAGGCACTATGCTGTAGAGAATGTACAAATGGGCAATCACTGTCTGAACTTAAAATTGGGGAGGTTATACTGCTCAATAGGGGCACACATAACTAAAATAAAATGAAGAAGTTCCACAGGAGAGCTACAAAGCCCTGTGGTGGAAGCACAGGTTTCTGGCTTGGAATCCTGGTCTCCATTTAAAGCTATGCAGCCTGGAAGAGTTAATTTCCCTTCAGTTTCCTCATCAACAAAATGAAGATAATACTACTGCCTCTTCATAAGGTTGTTGAAAGAATTAAATGAGATAATAGTTAAAAGCAGCTTAAAATAATGCCTAGTACATAGTTGATAACTAAATGTTAGTTATTATTGTTATCATTATTGGAGTTTAGAGGAATAAGTGGTTGACTTGACTCCAGAGAAGGAAAGAAAATTTCAGAAGGAGGTAGTGTTAGAATTGGGTAGTGTTGAAAGATGGAAGTGGGCCAGGAGAAAGGAAGAGGAAGGAGAAAAGAGAGGGAGAGAAGTCCTTGCCATAGTAAGTAGTTCAATTTGGCTGGACTGGAAAGTTCCTTAACAGAAATGGTGGCATGAAATGCAGTTCAGGGCACTAGTGCAGAAGCTTAATATAAATAATTTAACTTTTTTCTATTAATTTCCCTTCATCCTCAGTCATGTCCTAGAAATTAACACAGTAGTTAAAAAATAGATCAAATATTATTACTATAGATAAAAGTAGCCAGCATTATGTCCTATATGGGTAGATAAGCCCGAGCATTGGAGTCCAAAAACCTTACGTGTTTTTCCTGACCCTTTCTGGAAGCCATCTGCCAAGTCTGAAAAAGCACTAAGAATTCTTAAGTCTAAGAAACACAAAACAAGTTCCAAGCCAGGTAAAGTCACTTAACCCTCTGGGCCTCAATTTCCTCTTAATAAAAAATATATACTGGGGCCGGCC